TGGAGTGCAATGGCACAATCTCAGCTCACTGCCACCTTTGCTTCCTGGGTTCAAGCAATTCTCCTGCCTTAGCCTCCTGAGTAGCTGTGACTGCAGGCACGCACCACCATGCCCAGCTAACTTTTGTATTTTTAGTAGAGACGGGGTTTCACCATCTTGGCCAGGATGGTCTCAATCTCTTGACCTCATGATCCACCCATCTTGGCCTTCCAAAGTGCTGGAATTATAGGCGTGACCCACTGCGCCCAGCCTAATATTTGTATTTTTAGTAGAGACAGGGCTTCACCATTGTTGGCCAGTCTGGTCTCAAACTTCTGGCCTCAAGTGATCCGCGCACCTTAGCTCCCAAAGTGTTGGGATTACAGGTGTGAGCCATCTTGCCTGGCCTTGAGGAGGAGCTCTATCTAATTTGCGCAAATATATCCTATGGGCTGGTTTGAACCTATGCTGTTCTCTACCAGCTACAGATTCTTCAGCCCTCAAGCCCGGCACTTCTGTCCCTTAGAGCACCCCACCCTGACTCAATCCCTACGCCACTGCAGGGGGAGCAGAGCAGCTCACCTGCTGACTCCAGTGAGAGCGAGGGGCAGCAAAGGAAAGAGCCTGCCTGGGGGGTGTGGCAGGCAGGTTCACATTTTTTTTTTTTTTCCTTTTTTCACTATCCACCTGGAGATATGGGTTCACCTTCTGGCCTGTGACTGAGCCTTTCTAGGGGACCTTCAATGCTTTCTTCTGTGAAATGATCTGATTGTACCAAGCTCAGCCTCACGGGCCTGAGGGAAGCAAGAGATGAGATCATCGGTGCTAAGGGGTGGGCCCTGGTGAGATGTTTGACGTGGACTCCTTGCTGTGCCCCATCCACTTCTCCTGGCTCATGAAACTTTACCCTACCCCTCGAGGAAAGGCTTGGGTGGCCATTGGAGGATGCCCGGGGAGGTCTCAGGCACAGGGGCAACGAAGCAGATTTAGAAAGATGCTGAGGGCTGGAAGTGGAGGTGGGGAGCCCAGGGCACGTGGGGCCAGTCTCAGCAGTGTGCCCAGTGTGTCCACAGTCTGTGGTCTGTGAGCCCTTTGAGGGCCAGTGCTGTGGCTTCATTCCTTAAGCACTGATGGCTGCCTACCCTGTGCCAGACTGTGGGGGTCACGTGGACACAGAAATGGACAAGGCAGCCCCAGACCCATCCCTCATGGATCTTCCAGCCAGTGGGACCGATGTCACAGGCCGGCACCAGGCCTGGAGGAGAGAAGGTGCTTGGGAGATAGTGAATGAAGCCAAGTGGTCACGTTACTTGTAAGCAGAAGGGAAGATGATTAGCGAATAATCACTCCTGCTGGGGTGTACATGTTCCTGGCTCATAGTAGGTGCCTAATTCAGAGTCCATCAGGGTCTTCACAGCAGAACTGTGCAGGTCCTAACGAACCTCCTCCCTGGGCCATAGGGGCCTCCGTTTCATCCAGGTCTTCCTCCAGAGCATCTGCGACGGGGAGCGGGACGAGAACCACCCCAACCTCATCCGTGTCAACGCCACCAAGGCCTATGAGATGGCTCTCAAGAAGTACCATGGCTGGATCGTGCAGAAGATCTTCCAGGTGAGCCGCGCCTGCCAGCCCCAAAGGACCACACAGGTTCTGCTCCCTGCTCTGCCGCTGCTTGGCCAAGGCCTCCTGGCCTGCGAGGCTGCGTTTGCGCCCTTGGGCTCAGGAAGGGCTCCCCCGTTAATTTGGGTGAGGCTGGTATACTGAGAGCTTCCCCTCCTGTGCCCTTGGCCCGCCCCATTCACGGCCATGGCAGGTGTCACTGTAGATACCCCATGGTGTTTCTCTTTGGGGCCGAGGCCCGATGGGGGGGGCAACAAGAGAAACCATGGGGAAGGCCCAGGTGGACCCCAGGTTGATGGGGACCCAGCATGACAGCCCCCAGATTTAGCCTAGATCCCCACCTCGGGCATGTGGGGAAAAATGGGCCCCATCTCTCTGGGAGCATCTGCTGAAAGGCCCTTTGAGTTCTTGGTAGCTTGTGTTGGGGTGACACTGGCCAGGGCTCCTAGAAGTGAGGCTGCAGCACCTGCCTGATTAGCTGAGGGCCCCAGGGTTGGTCACTGGCCTGAGAGCTCTGCTCAGGAGACATCCGAAGGCCCTCTGGCTGCCCTGCGCCATGCCCATCACCTGCTGCTTGTGGCCCTCATGTCACCTGCGTGTCCCTGCCCAGCCTGTTCTAGCCACTCTTTCTGCTGCAGCTCCCTCTGCCTGCCCACCCTGGTGGCCATGAGAACGAGGGGCTGACGGGCCCTGTTCAGTGTTCCTGTGGGGTACAGGCTGCAGGCAGCCTGGGGCAGAAGCCAGTATGGTTCCAGAGAGGAAGAGCTGGTCATAGGCTGAGATGCATGGCAGTCCCTGGGCCGTCCACCCTGGCAGAGCTGGAAACAGGCTCATTCCCATGGCCCCTCGAGAGCTCCACAGTGCATTGCCCCTACAAATTCTCAAACCACCCCAATAATAACAGTGTGTTCTTTGTACCCGGCCAAGGGCAGCTGCCCATGATTTGTAATCTTCACAAATGCACCACAAGGTGGGCACGGTTCTCACCTCCATTTCCCAGATAAGGACATTGACGCTCAGACCAGGTCACACAACACAAAAATGGGGGGCTGCGATCCTACTTCCCTGAGCCTCGATATCCTGTCTTTCAAATGGGTATAAAATAAGCCCTACTCAAACAGTCATTGTGATGATTAAATGAATTCATCAGTATAAAGTGCTTGACACCTGGTTCACATGGTTTACACTCAGACATCAAAGCTATTATTATTATTATTATTACTATTATTATTATTATTTTGAGACAGGGTCTCACTCTGTCGCCTAGGCTAGAGTGCAACAGTGCAGTCTTAGCTCACTGTAAGCTCCACTTCCAGGCTCAAGCGATTCTCCAGCCTTAGTCTCCTGAGTAGCTGGGACTACAGGTGTGAGCCACCAATGCCTAGCTAATTTTTGTATTTTTTGTAGAGATGAGCTTTCACCATATTGCCCTACCAGGTCTTGAACTCCTGAGCTTAAAGCAATTCTCTTATCTCAGCCTCCCAAAGTGCGAGGATGACAGACATGAGCCGCCAGCCCAGCTACTACTACTTTTATTATGAAGGAATAGTTAGTATTTGGTTGGGCGCGGTGGCTCACGCCTGTAATCCCAGCACTTTGGAAGGCTAAGGCAGGTGGATCACCTGAGGTCAGTAGTTGAAGACCAGCCTGGCCAACATGGTGAAACCCTGTCTCTATTAAAAATACAAAAAATTAGTCAGGCATGGTTGTGGGCTTCTGTAGTCCCAGCTACTTGGGAGGCTGAGGAAGGAGAATTGCTTGAACCTGGGAGATGGAGGTTGCAGTGAGCTGAGATTGGGCCACTGCACTCCAGCCTGGGTGACAGAACAAGACTTTGTCTCACACACACACAAAAAAGAATATTTATACTTTTCTCAGCCTATCAAACTCATAGCCTAAGCTTTT